TTGTTCAAAGCCGAGGACACAGAGTTATTACTGGTGATTCTGGTCCTTGCCCTTTCTCAAGACCTTGGCACAGCGTTTCCTCACAGGCAACGTTGGTAGAAGCTTGTGGATGCACGCTAGGGGAAAACATCCAGTGTCCTGACATAATAGGCCAGAGACACTGCGTTCTTTTGAAAAGAAACAAGTCATAACGAACCCAGTGTGGAAAGACCTGTTAACTGAAGCAGTCTAGGCAACGGAGACCATGACCTTGGCTGCTGGCTCCCCACCCTGCCACTACCCTCCTCCCCCGCCCCGGGTATAGTAGTTACAATGCAGACTCACCCTGTTCTCTATTCCCGGCTGCAAGTGAAGGCCAAGGGTTGTGCGTCTTTATTTAGTGTCTCGGGTTGGACTGGGATGGAGTGGAGCATGCGGAGACTGCTGTTCGCCTATGAGAGGGAAGGGCCGCAGTCCGGGCTGCCTGGTGCGCTTCCGTGCCCTCCGCCAAGGAAGCTCACCATCACCTAAGATACCTTAGGAAAATGAGCATCGTGATGAACGGTTCTTTGTCTGTGTGGTGCCTTTCTTGTAGCATAACGCATTGAACTGATGCCTCACAGCATCCTCCTGAAGAAAGGACGTGGCAGATAGTGTTCAAATGTTACCGGTTAATCACGGGGAGACGGACGCATGGCTAGGTTTATAGGGCCTGAGCGGAGTTACACAATGCCTTAGTGTCTGGCCTGGGAATGAAGCCTGAGTTTGCCACTTGCTGTCAGGACTGCCGACGGCATTGTGTTCAGCATTGTACGACATTGAAAGGAGCTTACTCTTAACAATGCAAGAGCTGCTTTAGGAGACAGACACAATGAACTTTGGTACAGTATAGTCTAGAGGCCAAAATGAGTAATTTTAAGTAAATCGACTATGAGATCCGGAGCTTCATTAAAGTTTAAAACGAAAAACAAGTGAAAACCCCGTACAGCTTTTAGAAACTGACTTTAAAAAAACCCCAAAAACATGAGCATTATTTCTCCATTTGAAATAGCATATTCTTAAAAGTCTTATTCTGACACTGTCTCTGTTTAACCACAGGATTTGTTTATTTCAAATAAATAATTCCAAGATTATGTGATTTATTTAAAAGATTCTGCCTTGTAATAATTGTCATCTAACCTTTATGCTTTTTGTGTTACAAAATACCTTATTTCCATATTCTGTGGCTTGGGGAGGGCTTTTTTATTCAGATCGAGTTTGGGTCTTCCAGAACAGTTGGAAATACAGAGCCTGAAATTCAGGAAAGAACCTGGGGGGAGAGGGGAGATGTCCTGTCGTATCTTTAACATCTACAGGATTGGAGCCATGGGGTTGGAGAATATAGAGAGGGGAGATAAAAGAAGAGTAGAATGTCATTGCTAAATGCCTTTTATGTCAGATGTGTCTTAGGTGTAGGTGACCTACAATAAATGAACAGGTGATGTAGATATTGATGGGGTTGGCTGCAAAGTTTTTATACCCTGCATTTTAAAAAGAACATGAAGATGAAATTCTGAGTAATACTGGTATATGAATAATTTAAACAGGGCCATATAGTAATCAGTCACCTGCAGTTTCATTTTGTATTTAAGATTTTGGATAGTTTGGGCCAGGTTAGTTGGGCCAGTCTCCCTCCAGGAGATAGTCCAGGGGAATTCTGACAGAAACGCTGAGCAAGAATGGAGGTGACCAGAGCAGGAATAGGGCCTCTTTCTGCTCCAACAAAGATCAAAGCAGCCCAACAAGAAACCACTGTGTGACTAGTGGTGTTCCTGCCATAGCTGAACCTGGCAGAGCTCTCCTAAGTCAATAGTAGCCAGCCAGTGGTCCTCTCTGAGGCAATGCATATATCATATGTGCTTGCATACACAACATGCATGCATACAGAACATACATGCATACATACACAACATACATACATCTGTCTCTTAGAAGAACTCTTATCAAGCCTAGGAAACTTGTTTTTTCATGAATAAGGAAAAGTTTGCAAAGTCAGATAATATCAGCCAGACGTCATACAAATCCAGGATGCGCTGTGTTTGCAAAGAATGCTGTTTATAGTTGTAGTCGTTCATCTTGTAGGAGAAGGCATAATGGAACTCAAGTAAGTGCAAAACAGAGCAGCTAATATGATGGAGTGGGAGGGGTTGCTTTATGAAGGCAGACAGAAATAATTAGGACTCCTCAGGCTTGAAAAGACTGAGAGGAAATATGATTAGAGTTGAAAAAATTGGCGAAGAATATGGATTAGTTGATCACAGAATTGTTTACCAGAAGTAGTTAGAAACTCTTAAAAGCCAAGGAAAAGTGAATTTAAGACAAAAAGAAGCTCTTTTGTACCAATAAGAGGTCCTGTACATCAAAACCACTTCTGGGAACTGGGTTAACTTCTGGCATTGAAGCGAAATGAAAAAGTCAAGGGTTTTTCTTATTTTGAAACCATTTTCTTGAAGTGTGGGGGGCCCAGAGAAAACATAGATCAAGCTTCCTACTAGTCTTTACATTTTTCTTTTTTTTCTTATGTGCAACTTTAATGTTCATCATTCAACAGTTATTGAGGGTACAGTGTATTCCATGTTCTCTATTAAGCACTGCGGATACTGGGATAAAAATGGACAGATGATGATGAAGGAGAAGGAGGAGAAACTGTTATAGTCTGTGTGATAAATTCATAAACGTGTGGTGTGAGAGCTTGACATGAGTTGCTAACGTATCCTTAAGATCAGAGCAGGCAACCCTGAGAAAGGGGTGTTTGAGCTGAAACCTGAAAGCTGGTGAGTTCGCTAAACCAAGAGCTGGGGAAGAGGGATTAGTGTATGTTGAGTACCTTGAGGTGTGAGGAGTCAGCTTGACTCAAGGCGGGGAGGTGAGGGGGAGAGTGATGGGAGGTGAGGCTGCAGGGGTGGGTTGGCGGAGCAGATCCTGGAGGGCACTGTAGACCATGATAAGGGTTTGGACCCAAGAGCAGTGGGAAGTTCACTGAAGGGGGTTAGACAGATATGATTAGATTTCATTTTCATAAACGATCATAGTAGCTGCCGCATGGAGAATAGAGCGAGGGCAAGAATAAATATACTGGGACCAGTGGGAGAATGTTGATGTTGTCCAAGTGATGGTGGCCTGGACGGGAGAGAAATGGGCAGATTCTAGAGCTACTTCAGAGGTTGTATGGACCGGACTTGTTGATGAAGTATGTATGAGAAGTGAGGGAGAGAAATAAGCCTGATTTATGAGCGTATGAAAGCCAATTCGACCTCAGATTTTATCCGAGTAGGAAGAATTAGCACAGCCTTTTTACAAGGTATCTTTTCCCATGATCTCCAGATGACCCCAGGAGTCAGTAGGTCTGCCTGCCGTTCTACCTCCCCCTCTTTCTTTCTAGAATCATTCAGGGCCTAAAAACTTCAGGCTCTACGAGCTGGCACATAGCTGGCCCCTAATAAGTGGTTGTCAAATAAGTAGAAAGATCAAAAATTGCATGAATGATTTCCCATCTCCCCAAAGTCCTTGTCTTTGACTCTCGCAGAGAGAACAGGTGTGTGCATTGCACCAACTACATGACAGTTCATAGTACCCTGAGCTGACTTGTAACAGAATATAGCAAAGGTCAAGATGACAGTGCTATATACTGGGACTCTATTCAATGATTTTTAAAGCTTTTTATTTTGAAATAATATCAAAGAGTTTTAAGACGAGTACAGGAAATTTTCATATAGACTGTGTATTCAGCTTCACCAGTCACTAACATTTTACCATGTTTGCTTTATCACACTCCCCACCATATAGAGATGGAGGTGGTGATGGAGAAAGAGATTTAAAATGTTTCTTAGCCAGCTAATTGACAGGTGTCAAGACTCTTCACTTCTAAATACTTAAGGATGTGTTTGTTTTTTTCTCCAGAACAGTGATTTTCTTTATATAACCACAGTGCAATAGTTAAATTCAGGAAATTTAACCTTATACAATACTGTTATCTAATATGCAGCCTCTGTTCAGCCCTCACCTGTTATCCTAATAATGTTGCTTGTGGCTTTTTTTTTTTTTTTTAAAGTTTTTTTTTGGGAATTGGAGGATGGGAACAGCGCTGGGGAATTGGGGGAAGGGGAACAGACAAGTTGCTGTCCCTTTGCTCTTCAGTCTAGTTGTGGAGGACATTGCTTCACTGGCCCAAGTTGGCACCATCATTGCACTCTTCCCGGGCGAGGCAGATCAGTCGCCGGCTTCTGGACGGCCGCTCACGCTGGCTGCTGGCCGCTCACACTGGCTGCTGGCTACACACGGTAGCCCATGGCAACCCACTGCAGCAGGGGCTGCAGCCTACGCCGTCGCAGGCGACTCTCAGCAGCCCAGCTCCAGGTTGAGCTGTTGTTCAGCATCTTAGCTGTAGAGGGCAGTGTCACTGGCCCTCATATGTGGGATCTGAACTGGGGCCCTCTGGCGTCCCAAGCCAGCTCTTAACCATCGCGCCACTCGGATGGCCCGCTTGTGGCATTTTTTATAGCTTGACCCAGGATCCAGTCCAGGCAGCACTGCATTTTGTTATCATGTCTCTTTCATCATCTTTAACAATAAACAGTTCCTTAGCCTTTATTTGACTTTTGAGACGCTGAGATTTTAGAGGAGAACAGGCCAGTCGTCCTGCAGAATGCCCCTCAGACTGGTTTTGTCTGCTGTCCCTATGCTTAGATTCTAGCTGTACAATTTGGGCAGGGAAGCTACATCGCGATGTCATGCCCCTCACCGTGCACCTGTCACAACAGGAGGGGGGCCGTGAAGGTCGGATCTGTGTCATTCTTGGAGATGGTAACCTGGATCACTCGGTTAAGGTTGTGTCCTCCGATTTGTCCACTCTAAAGTTACATTTCCTCCTAATAAGTAATAGGTTATTTAATTACTTCTGAATACTTGGTCATTGAAAGTGTTGCTAAGCTTTGTGTCCATGGTCTGATTTTAAAAAGCCTCATTTCCCCCTCTCTCGGCAGTGTTTTAGAGCACTCTGCTGCAAGGGACCACCGCCTGCACGACCAGAGTATGACCTGGTTTGCATAGGCCTCACAGGCGCTGGCAAGACCAGTCTGTTGTCCAAGCTCTGCAGTGAAAGCCCCGACAACGTCGTGTCGACCACAGGTGGGTACCACGCGGACTCTTGTTTCTTACGCTATTTGTGCTCTCCCCACCCCTCCCCTTTCCTCCATTTGTGCTTAAGTGCTTCAGCCAGTTTATTTATGTTTAGATACTGTTTTTCAAAATAGATTTGAGGAGGGCTTTCATAGCATTAAATTGCTGCACCTTCTATCCCTCTCGCTGGTCATTTCAGTGTCACTGAGTAAGTCACACTCAGGAAAAATTAATACAAACTAGCGGTGAAACCTGGAATTCTAATACTGTAACACAATGGATTCATCTTAGGCCCACTGAGGGTACCCTCCCTCGATGTGTCACTCTAGCCTTCCTGTGTTGGTGACACACTCTCTAAACAGTACAACGGATGGAGTCTGTATCTCCTTCCCTCCACATTTTCACCTGGAGATCATCGGTGCAAGGGACCATTGGTCCGGTTAACCGTGTTGTTCCCTGAGATGGCTGAGGGAAGTCAGTGTGGGCAGTGGTCCTCAATCAGGACATTTTGCTCCCCAGGGAGCAATGTCTGAAGACATTTCAGTTGTCACACTGGGGAAGGGTATTATTGACATCTCCTGGGCAGAGGGCAGGGGCGCTGCCAAACATCCTACAAGGCACAGGACAGGCTCCTACCAGTAAGAATGACCTGGCCCAAAGTGTCAATGGTGCTGCCTAGAGCTTTTGTCACTTCCCAAATGCTTCCTCTTTCTCCCCTGACAATGAAGCAGGAAAGCAGAGCATAAATCAGAGAACATCATGGAAGAACAGTTGCAGGAGATAAAGAACGTGCTGTCATGGGAGGCGCTGACAAGGGGAGGGACATTGTCTGGGAAAGTCGGAAAGATTGCTCACTCGGCCAGCTTCTTTTGAGCACCTACCATGTGCTAGGTCCAGTGATCGGAGCTGGGAATAAACAATGATCCCAGCATTCCAGGAGACTGAGTCTACTGGCCACATAGACATTAAGGTCATGTCCAGAAATATAGAAAGGAGGAGGCAGAATCGGTGTTGCTTGGGATGGGGGAAGGGAAGGATGCATGATGAAATTTTCTGTTGGATCTTGAGGGTAGGTAAGCCTGCAGACAAGCAGGAATAAGAGCTGGATGGGAGAAGAGAGAGGAAGTCGGGACAGAGGGAAAACTTGTGTGAAGGCAGAGGGGCCCGGAACAGATTGGACCTCCTGGGAAGCACTTTCTGTGTGGCTGCAGTGCACGATGAGTAAAATGCCAGGAGTCAAATCACAAGAGACAGGCCTTGGCCAAACCTTGGCTGTCCTTTTCTCCCGTGCTCAGGAATTTGAGCTTTTCCTGTAGATAGCCCAGAGATGTCGGAGTATTTTAAGCAAGGAGACTGTGTGATCTTATGTCCATTTGAGAAGGATCACACTAGCCGTGATGTGTAGGCTTCATTGTGGGACACATTGTTAGCCAGTAACGAAGGCAGTGACGGTGGGCGAGAGTAGATAGGATTCTTGTTTGAGGGCTAGAATGAACAGGGCTTATTGGCCTGTGGGTTTGGAGGGTGAGAGAAAGAAGCCAAGGATGGCTCAAGTCCTGGCTCGGGTGATGGGTGGATGATGGAATCATCAACTAGGATTTCCTAATAAGTAGGGGAAATATTGATGACCAAGAAGGAAGGAGCCTTTTATCATTCATGTTAGGTTTTGCCACCAAATAAGTTCGTACAAAAGTGCAGGTTTTGAGAGCTTTTCCTATTTTAGAATTGTAAACAAGACACCGTGAGCTGTAAAGAAACAAAGACACAGCTTGATTAAAGGATGAGGAAAAGCAGGGTTCATGTTGACTGGGGACACCACAGACAATGAGCAGAGCTCAGGCACAGCTTTTTGCATGACGCCATTCCCAGCTACTATCTTGCGTTTCCCCCAGAGTCGAGCGCTCCCCTGTACGTTGTCCATATTTCTACAGTGTAGTACCTGTAACACTGCTGTTGACAGGTATGGCTCCTCAACCTGGGGTGTAAACTCCTATGGGAAGATTAGAGCATCTTATTTGGCTTTATGCACCCAGAGCCTGGCATAAGTTTTGGGCATAGTTACAGATGTTTGTTGAGTGAATAAACAGACAGCAGTAAATGAATCAATATAGTTTTACATAAAATGTCATTCCTCTGTGAGCCTCACAGCAGCCTGCTGTGGCAGGGAAGATTCTTTTTCCATATTCTGTCTTCAAATCATCTGAGACTCAAAGTGGCTGTTGTCACACAGCTATTGACAGAGGTCGGTTGCCAGTTCATGTCTTCAAATGAAGTTTAGTAATACCCAGGACTTAGGATTTCTGATGGAAGCATGTATGTGCTGTCTGTGAAGTTATGGATATCTGCTGAGAAATGTGGTATGTGATTATCTAAACTTTATTAACTTAATTGATTTAAAGCGAAATAACTTCCCTCAAAATGTGTAAAAGCAAAACAAAGTAAGCGTTCTTAACGTATCAGATGTATAAACAAGTAGCACTATTGATAGAAGCAGTTTGGAATTATAATGTAAAAAATTACCTGTAAATAATGTTTTTATAATTTATTATTGGTAAGTGGCAATAGAATATGTTTTATATTTGCTTTAATTAAATGTTTTTTAAGAATGTTTTGCTTTTCCTGGAACCTTCCACGAGTTGTCGTTATGCTGAACCAGGCACACTGCCGAGTCCCGCGCAAGGGCGGTGAGGAGTGAGAGGGGTGTCTCAGGGTTAAAGAAACACAAGAGTCAAGGATAGAGTTAAGGCGGGGCCAAGGGACTACAACCTCTCAGAGGGATTATTCATTATACATTTGTACCAACTGGACAAACAGTTAATCAAGTTTACTATTGGGTTGTTGGAAAAGTCATGACGCATTTTTGCAACGAAAAACAGAGAATACCTTATGACTTTTTTTTTTTTTTTTACTGATACATTATTATTAATTAAAGCCATAGTTTACATGAGGGTAGTTATGACTTTTCTGACAACCCAATATTTGGAAGTGCTGAAGAGGCTGCATGAAAAAGTTAGATGACCTGATCTTTTTACCGACAATTCATGGCTCTTGCATCATGACAATGCACCAGCTCACACAGCACTGTCTGTGAGGGAGTTTTTAGCCAGTAAACAAATAACTGTATTGGAACACCCTCTCTATTTGCTGATCTGGCCCCCAATGACTTCTTTCTTTACCGGAAGATAAAGGAAATTGAAAGGAAGACATTTTGATGACATTCAGGACACCAATGGTAATATGACAACAGCTCTGATGGCCATTCCAGAAAAAGAGTTCTAAAATTGCTTTGAAGCGTGGACTAGGTTTTGGCGTCGGTGCATAGCCTCCCAAGGGGAGTACTTCGAAGGTGACCATAGTGATATTAAGCAATGAAGTATGGAGCACTTTTTCTAGGATGAGTTCACAAACTTCATTGTCCAACCTTCATATGCCAGGTGCTAAGACAGAATATGATATGTGCTATATACTTCATGGTATAAATATGAAAGTTAAAAGAGAGATAATTATTTCTCATCTGGGGAATGAAAGAAGGCCTCCTTTGAGTAGGGCCTCATATGATGTGTAGGATCTAAGCAGAGAGGAATGGGGTGAGGAGAAGAAGGATAGAAATCATAGGGTACATTCAGAGAACAGTTAGTTAGTGGTCTTGCTAGGTTGAGGCCCAGGATGCAGAAATGTAGGATGTGTTGTGACCCGAGGCTAGAGACTGGAGCAGCTGTTGAGAAAGACCTATAACATGGAAAGGTGGTCAACCAGCTGCTGTTATTGTGGGGATGGAGAGTTAGAGGCGGATGTGATTGATCCTGTAAGACTGACAGTCATATTGGGGACTAGAGAGGGAAGGAAGTGAAAATGATCAAGTATGACTTAAGTTTCTAGCCTGGTGATTGAGTGAATTGTAAAAAGTAGAAGAAACATGACAGGCAGTTTTAAGATAAAAGATAGTGAGTTTCGTTTTGGACATAGTAATTTTGAGGTGCTGGCAGACCTTTTGACAATGAGCCAAATGCCAAACAACAAGCTGACTCAAGACAATTTGTGGCTAGAGATATAGATTTAAGAGCTGACTGAATTGTGGATTTGGATGAGATGGTTGAGGGATGATAGGTAGAGAGAGGGAAGGAGAGTGCCAATCACAACTGTATATCATTCATTCTTTCTGCATTTATTAAATGCCTGTAGGTGTTAAAGTAGAAACCAACCTGAGGCATGATGGGGTGCTGAGCATGCAGAGGGAATGCGGTGTGGACAGTCCTTACTGAGGAAACTAAGGTGGAGCTTGGTGGACTCCCTGCATTGACAAGATGGAGGTGAGAGTGGAGAGACCAAGGCAGCTAGAGTTCATAGGACACACAGGAGAGGAGCAAGTTGTACAGAGAGAGCACTAGAGATATGTGGAAGGTCTCCCTTCAGCATCCAGCAAGGTATTCAGTGCATGCACATGAGGAAACTACTCAAAGCTAAGGAAAGAACCATCTAAAAGGGCTGGAGGAACAGTGCCTTATGTTCACATAGGGCTGAGTTCTGCCTGTTTCTACGAGGTGGACTGGAAAAGTCCTAACTCACGAGGTACTGGGTAGGATATTCAGGAAGGACTAGCCTCGGGAATCAGCTCTGAGCTGAGCACTGCTCTGGACCCACCTAATAAATCATAGTAAGATGAAAATCTCAAACAGTTTTTTTTTTTAACTTTATTGGGGAACAATATGTTTTTTCCAGGACCCATCAGCTCCAAGTCAAGTTGTTGTCCTTCAATCTTAGTTGTGGAGAGCACAGCTCAGCTCCAAGTCCAGTTGCCGTTTTCAATCTAGTTGCAGGGGGCACAGCCCACCATCCCATGAGGGAATCGAACCGGCAACCTTGTTAAGAGCACAGGCTCTAACCAACTGAGCTGTCCGGCTGCCCTCAAACAGTTTTTTAGTAACTTTAATGCATCCCAAAACAAAAACATGTAAGATTTACAGAAAGCAAAACTTTCCAGCACTTCAGGTAAAAGTCACAATGTCTGA